ATAATATTAATTTTTAAATTATAATAATATATAAGTATACATAAGTATTTTATCAATATTGTTATAAAATAAAATTATTTAATTTCAAAAAATTGTAATATTTTTTATAAACTACTCAATACTTTTAAATCAAATTCAAAATTGAAGACACACACTCTCTTATTGCAATACTGGGCTAACTCACATTTAGTGAAAGTTGAGAAAATTAACAAGATAGGCAGAGGATATATTGGATAGTAACGTATTTCAATAAACACCTATTATCACACAGTCACTATTGCAGCAAGCTCAAAAGGAAAAGATGTCCAAAATTAGTATATACACGGAGAGAATTTTATTTTAAAATTTATCCCGAAAATATAGTTGTGATACAATATTTTAAAGATTTTTACTATGCACTTAATCAGTAAAATTAATCGAACTTGTTTTATACTTTATTGTAATTTTATTAATGAATGAAGGAGATTTATATTAAAATTTTTGGAAATACAATGTTATCCCACAACTATCATATTTTCCGAATAAACTCTAAGAAAAAATTTTTTCTGTGTAACACGTCCATGATAAGTCCAAAATTGGATATGTTTTGGATATATTCTATGGACGTACAAAATTGTTGCAAATGTGGATGTTCTAGGACATCCGACAGACGTAATTTGGACTTCCTATGAATATTCCAATGTCCAGAATCGGAAATCCAATGAACGTACAATGGACGTCCTTGTGCTATCTGGAACTAGTCTTGTTAGAAGCATTATTGAAGCGTTACTATGTTTTAAATTAATTATATATTTTTTATGTAAAAGATAAGACAATAAAATTTTTTGACTTTTAATATTTATATTTTTTATATTGATGAATATTTATTAATAAATATTTTTTTGTTTTATCATCACTTTCTTTATTTTCGTAGTAATTTGTTCCAATTCTTTTAGTAAGAAATGTTGAGATTTTTAATGTTAGGTGAATGATAACTTTATTTTCACGGAATAATAATAATAAATAAAAAAATGCTAAACTGAAGGGTCAACTAAAAACGGAGTCCTTTTTTAATACATCGAAACCAATCAAATATTTTTCGCTGATTTTTTAAATTCTTTCTGCACACACACACACACACACACACACACACACACACACGTACGCACGCACGCACACGCACGCACGCACGCACGCACACACCCCACACACACACACAC